ATAATGTGCGGGCCGGAGCCAGTCTGTATATATTTGGATGATGATAAGTGGAGGCGATTTACATCGAGAGCGTGGGGCCGTCTGTTGGTGATATTATCGCGCAATTAATATTAGGTGTGGTGCCATCGCACAATAGAAATAAGAAACGAGCCCGTGATATACAACACGGCGCTGCAATTTATTGCCGCCAGATTTATGAGCTCAGCAGCTCGCTGCGGACTAACTTTTCAAATTAATATCGCCTCTCTTTGGTACGTACAAATTTTCTCTGCAATCGCAACTCGGCATCCACGACCACGCGCTTCGATTTGAAGCAAAACAGAGGCAAGGGTTTTTCAAATGGAGGTGGAAATCTAATTTAAACCGACGGCAAGTCTCCTTTGCAAATTGAATTTATTAAGTTCTTGTTCCTTATTATTGTTGTTAATTTGCCCCACAAAAATAAATTTGTGCTTCTATGCTAGGTTGAATAAATTCTTAACGTATTTTTTGAAAACATGAAATTAAAAATATTTCTTAATATGAAAATTGAAGCTATTTAAGGATTTTGTTCCATTGAGTTTTTATAGACTTTTCTGGAGTAAGAGGAAAATATTTAAATTCCTATCTATAGAAGAAATTATAAACTATGAACAAAATTCACTTCAAATAAATATTCACGGGAAACTTCTGAAAATAATCTGAATTAATTTTAAATACTAAGAAATTTTGACAGAATAAAATGGCACTTAAAAATCGCTTTGCTTTTGCGAATTTTTAAATTGCACACCAATATTAAATTTATAATTGAGAGCTCTTCCTCGCTGCGTGTGAGAATAAATCAAACGATTTTGTCTCTGGAGAGCAAGATAATTAGTGCTAGGGGCCAGGTGGCAAGCGCTCAAATCTCTCACTTTCCACCACAGCACATGAGAAAAAACGTGTTTTTCATGGAAAACCGCGCAAATTGGCGAAAACTTGTACTCGGGGGGCGACCAACAAAAGCCGAGATTGAGCTTTGCACGGTCATGTACTCTTTGCAACATGTTAATGACATCGCGAGCGCAGGAAACGCCGAATAATAAAGTCTTTCTCGCTGGATGATGCTGGGAACAACAACAAGTTTTTTTGCCGCCGAACACGCCACTTTATGTGTATAAAAATAATCGCCAATGAGGCGTAAGTGTTATAATACCGCTAATAAATCGGCAGCGGCGCGAAAAATGTAAAAAGCGAGAGATGATCCCCTACTGATGCGCGGTCAGGCGACCGGAATTTTTAATCCCGTGGTTATAACGGAAAAAGAGGTGAGAAAACATCGGTAAAAAAAAAGATGATTTTTGCAGAAACCGCAGCTGCCTGGGATCGATATTAACGACGAGTGTGAGTCATTAATGAGAGTCTGATTTCCTCATATAGCAATTTTCTTAAGTGCACAATTCCGGATCATCATTCAAGTACTTACATCACTAATTTCCTTGGAAAAATCTATAATTTTTCATGATGGAGCAAAATTGCTTGGGAAAAATATGCCCACTAAATTTAAAAACGGATAATCAGCACAAAAGGTAAAGTTTCATGTTTTCTCATTTTTTGTATAATATTTAAAAAGAAAAAAATAAATTAACTCATCTCATAAATTCTTCAAAAAATAAAAAAAAATCTTTATTGAATTATTGATCTTCTTTTCTCACTGACAAAAACTAAATTTTATTTCCTTTTGATCAAATTTTCAAATTTTTATTTTTAATTCCTTTTTTTTAATGGATGCAAAATTAAATATTTTACGATCGCCTGCGACCCGTTTTAATTGCGTGGCTCTTTGTTTTGTTTGGTTCTATATGTCAGCACATAAATAATATGAAATATATGAAAATCATAGCGCACCATATTATATATAGCATGAGCGCAAAAAAATAAAATTTATGGTGTGGACGTTGAAAGGATTATGATTCTCTCTGTCGCCCATTCTTCTTTTATTATTATACGTGAGTACTGCAAATATATATTATAGGAAAAGGCGTCGTCTGCTCTCTCTTGAAGAAAAAAATTTAACGCGCGTAAAAAATTTGTGAAACAATGGCGCGAAACGTTTTATTATATATTCTGAATTATTATTTCGCAGCCGCGTGTGCTTTTTATCACTTTTATTATAAACAATGCTTTACAAAGTAGCATTCTTTCAGCACTTATTTTTATGCAGGTGAGTGACTCGCGTAATTATTTCTCTCGAATGTGTGTATAAAGTTATGCCCCGTCATGAGTTGCAATTTGTCGCTTTACGACCGCTTTGCATGCCGCATTAAAATCGCCGCTGCATCAAATCGCAATGAAATCACGTCTGCATTTTTCTTTATTGTTTAATATTTTACTGCGCATTTGCGTGTGCGACTCGAGAAAAATGACACAGAATGGAAAGTATAATAGTCTTTTTTCCACTAACTTCGTGGAATTTAAAACAATTGAATTATTTTGTACAAACTGAAATTTCTTTTTTAATGTATCAACCCCGATTTGGTTCATTTTTCTACAAAGTTAAAATTAGCAAAGTCTGGAGTCAAAATTTATCATCAAGTTTTTTAATTGGAATTATTTAAGTTCAATCAAAATTTCATGGTAAAATTCATTGATTTTTTAATTATCCAATTGATATATTTGAATAATATTCATAAGAAGATGTTATTTAAAACTTACTTTCAATTTATCATATTTGGTAAAAATGAAACTTTATAAAATAAAATTAACAATTTTTTACCTCCTAGTTCTGACCTTTCCCATGCCTATATAGATCTTCATGTCATTTAATTATCATCAATATAAATTATGATGTTCGGGACACAGATCAAATTGTTGTCCGGGCTCAACAACAAACAAGGTACACAACAGCAACAACATATCAAAATCAAGGTGCGTGGAAGCGGCCGGTCGGCTCCATTCAGTGCGCCTAATCGATCATCCTTTATCATTTGACGGCAATGAAATTAAAAAGTAGGAGGTTTCATTCAACAAAACCGATGAATAATTAGACACTCCTCTCGTTGAGATTCGATGATCGCGCGCGATAATGGCCCTGCGGTCGCTGTTTTCATTAGGTCCGGGGAAAAAAATTATTGCTTGTCGATCAGGCGCGGGCGATTTCGCGCCAAGTGACCCCGGTGCTGTAATATTCAGCGATGCTGGTGTGTGTTTGTGATTAACCCTTTGCGTGCTGAGATTAATGAGCTTTGCAAACAGAGACGCAAGAAAGAAGGGCTTGGATTTAATAATGTGGCATTTTATAATATAGTTAATTTAATTGCGAATTCTTGGAATCGTAAGATGATATTGTGCTGATGTCAGATGGCGGTGTTCTTTTACGTTGTGATAGATTGCACAACACGCTCTGCTGTTAATAAAAAAAAATGTTAAGCCGAAAAGGCGCCAGTTTCGTTTACATCTCAGGAGTCATGAGATTAACGTTTAATTAATTCTAATAATAAAAATTTCAAAAAAAATTATTGATCTTCAAAATATGTCTGAAAAAAAAAATTAAAAAAAAAAGACTTGGAAGAAGAGTGAACTTTTAACGTAATAGTGAAATTTAAAAACATTTTATTTTCACTAAACAAAATCTATATATTCCCATAATAAATTTAATATTAAATTTAAAAATCTTTGGTTCTTTTATAAATTTTGGGCGATTAGTTTTTGATCACAAATTAGTTCTTGTGTGAAAATTTTCATGCGTTAAAAATTTATTTTTTCAAAACAATCTTTATATTTAAGTTTTAGATGGATCATGTCCATATTTTGTGGACCATCGAGAGAACAATAATCTGATTTTGGGCCGTATGGGCGCGGTTAATTGATAATCCATGGAATAGCCCTCTTATCCAAACTCACTCGCTCTCCTCCACTCGGGCAATTTATCTCGGGCGCAACAACCTCGCGGACGCGCTTCTTCTCAATGAGTAATTAAATTTTAGATTTTGACAAAGTGGCCTTCTGGCCGGCGCGCAGCAACAGCTTTTCGTTTAATCAAAACAAAAAGCGGCCAGTTGCTTAATGCGGTTATCAAAGCGATGATTTATTCACTGCAGACAGTTTCGAATCGGGCCAATTAATAGCACGTCACTCGCGGACGCATGACCGGTTGATTGGCTGCCCGGCCGAATAATCGTCGGCGTTGTTGGCTCCGGCACTTTAATTAATACTCTTATCATTAACACGGGCGGCTCTAATTTATTTGTTTTGGCTCTCGCGAGTCGGACTCGCAATGAATGGAACAGGATTAAATAATGAAAGAGAAAAAAAATGAGAATTAGTGGAACGCCCACTTTGCCGAAAAGAAATGCTCTTAGCTGATTAAACTCCTACTATGTTTGCATTCGAATAAATAATTGAAAATGAGAATATTTGGATGACAAAGCAAAAAAAAAATATTGGTAAAAATCGAAATATTTTGTTTAAATTTATTGCAGCATAATATTTGTATTAATTTCGATTATATTGTTTATTTCTTGCAAATAAAACCAGCAGTAGATAAATACAATATGAAAGATTTTGCAATTTACTAAAAATAATTATGAATTTTTATTTTTATTATTTTAATTTATTAATTTTTTCTTTACAAATTTTTGTTATTTTTCAATTAGATTTCAAATTGTGTTTTATATTATTAAATTTATTTTCTTGTTTTTACTAGAAAATTTAAAATATGGATAAAATGAGGGTGTGTTTGTTACTAAGAGAACATTGTTTAGAATAATAATTTTATATTTTATATATTTCTGAAGCCTCATTTGTAACTTAAAGACTTGAACAATTTTAAAACTGATTTCACTAGGTCATCTGGGTGACCGTGCCAATATTTGCGATTATTAGTAATTAATTCCAACCTAACATATCAACTTCAGATTAATTGAATGTAAGCAAAGTATTCTCTAAATTCATCATTATTTCGGCAACTTTTGTTGTTCTGTAACAAAATCTGAATCACGTAAATACAAAAGGTATTAATTAACCGATAATATTTGTTACAGCTGTATGAATTGAGTGACGACCCAAAGCGCAAAGACTTCCTCGACGACCTCTTCAGCTTCATGCAGAAACGAGGTGAGTTGGAAATCAATTTATTTATTTTTCTCCTCTTCCGTTTTCCGTTCGACGATAAATTATTTCTGCAGCTTGGTCCGGCCATCAAAATTTATATGTCCGATGTTGACGAGTGCGTTCATTTGAAGCGGCGCAGTATAAGTTGACGATTGCACGCACCTGCCCCGATACTCACGCCGCCCTTCAATTTGGAGCCGCATCAAACGGGCATCCTGATAGATCCATTCCGGTTTTTACGACGAAACCGCACCCTCTCGCCGCGCCACCACTTGGCCAATTTTCCCAGCACGGGCGTAAAACTCACTCGCCGCTAATGACGCCTCTCACACCCCGGCCGGCACCCCCACACGCCCCAATACTAACACAAAGTTGTCTATCTAAATGAACTCTTTCTTGAGGAAAAGTTCAATAAAGTTAATTTAATTGTGACGCCAATTCAAGGACTGCTAAAATTTAAAAAAAACTAAATTCTTTTTCAAAATAATTCAACATAAATTCAAACAGTCAAATCTATTGAATTCACCACTTTTCTGGAAAAAATTTGAATAAAATATTTTCACCCAAATATATTTAAAAAAATCAAATTCTCATAATTCAAAACAAATCAATTTGAACAAAATCAAAAGTTTATAGCTTAAAATGTTTTAAACGGATCTGATCTGCAGACGGCGAGCAGCACGTGTATCTTTTCCGCCACGGTTCCACTCATCTTCATATCAAAGCGCCGGGGCTAATTTTAGGTGGTAAAGTGGCATATCTTCTTTGTTGGTCTCTTTCCATCCTTCGCGCGCGTCACACTCCGAAATGCGTGCGTGTGTCACCTCCGAGAGAATGATTAATGACTGCTGCCGGGTTTTAATCTCAAACCGAACATCATCAGCATGACACGTACCACAGGTTATTTTCATAATATCCCAAAGCCAAAGGGGTCTCTGGCTGCTCTCGCGGCGGGCGCCTCCCGGCCACCCCCTTCGTCGCCCCGAAACCAGATTAATACAACAAAGGAACCAAATAAGAATCAATGTTGAGATGGTAGAGTTTATAATTTTATTTATTAGCAGTTAAAATCAAATTCTATAATATAATATGGAAGATTAATTAAGTGAATTAAATCTTTATTTAAATTTTTTTAAATAAATTTTTCTTGCTCTTGTAATTTATTCAAATTTATGAAAAATAATATCGATTGATTGAATAATATTTAATCATATTTACTTGTTACATATCTGCCAAAAATTTCTTTTCGATATATAAAATTCATTAAAAAATTAAATTTTATCCATAATCGATGTAAAATTCTAAGTTCCTTCTAATTAGCATTTACATAAACTTCTTGCACTCAAATGATTTGGTAATTTATTGTAATTTTTATTTCATTTTTAAAAATTAATTTAAATTACAAAACGTTATTTTGTTTATGCCTCAATAAATTTTTAACTCCAGAAGTGGCTAAGTAAATTTCTCGCTCCTTTTAAGAATCGAAAGTAAACAGATACCAAAATATATGTTCTTCCGGGAGCAATTCTGCCCGAAAGGCATCTATTTATTTCAATTCTAATCTCCGAAGTTGGTCTTTTCGATCAGTTCGGTGCTACCACCAGGAATTATTTTCTTTCTCCTCCTAATGGAGCTATCTGATGCAAGAACAGGAGCGTTCGGCTGCCTTTGCTGCTTCTATACATACACATTATACTATTAGGTGCGCGCATTGTGATCAAATGGGCGGATCGGTATGCCATTTAGCGCGCTCTCTACCATGTAATCATCTCCGATCGCGCGCGCACCCAAATTTAATAATAAATAATAACACACGTTGTTTGCTCGCCTCTTCGTTCCTTGATCACAATAAATAAAAATAATGCTAGTGCTGAATTCACGCCGCCACCGAGATTCGCGCCCGGCCAACACAAAGGCTAATTTTCTCCACTGGATTTTGGGCTTATCTTAGATTCGGGGGCAACTTATTAATTTCCAAGTCTGCGAGCGGTGAAAATTTATTTGCTGTTCTATCGCGATTGGTAACACCCGAATAATATTGACGGTGGCTTTTTCTGATCAAAATCCAACACTAATAATAGGAAAGTATATCCTACACAAAAATATGTTTGCATCATCAATGATAAAAAGGGATGAATATTTTTAAAGAATTTATTTTCACTGATAATAAAATTAATCTTTGTAAATTTTATTTATTTATAGTTTTTAATAATCGTGTATTTGCGAATCTTTTTTTTATTGATCCTTTATTCCTCAGACACTGCTCAGACACAAATTTAAAAATCTTGATTTAATTTATTTTTTTATTTATTAATTTTTTTTTGAGGTAGTGCAATTTTCCTACTCTCTCATGAAACTGTACGGCTAATTGTTAAAACAAAAGAATTTTGAATATTTTTGTTTTTAAATTTTTTTGTATGATTATAATTGACGACCCTCTAATCGATTTTGCCGGTCAATTCCAATAACAAATTAAATGGGAAAGGCGGGAAGAAAGCGGCCTCCTTGTCTCGGTGATTTATCAGTCCTGAGAATTGCCGCTGCCAATAACAATCGGCCCTTTCGGCTTTTAATGCGCGATGATAATGGACCAAGCATGGCCTTTTAGCTTCGTTCCAGCGTTTAATGATGTGTTTAGTACCATTATCATATACGGCACGTTCGATTTGCAAAGACGATTCCTTTGTCCGCAATAAGATGCCCATTTACATTTATGAACATTCTCTGCCGGCAAATAAATTGTAAAATTGAACACCGAGCGAGATGCTCATTTTATTTATGCGCGCGCTGGATATAAATTTTGCTTTTATTCTCGCTCGTGGCAAATTAAAAACGACAAATACATAAATATACAAATGTATCCGAATATTTATGCCTCTTTCGCGGCCGAGACCCAAGACGAGTCTGCTGCTCCGTAGCGCTGCAAAATAACAAGAAATGACTCATGCTGGCTGGGATATACGATTAGCAAGAAAATTTATTTATTTTTTGAAAATGTATTGCTTTTCTTGAATTTGTATATAAGCGGATGTTAATAATCTTGAACGATTTTTAAACTATATTTTATTAATTTTGGTTTTAATTCAATTCATTCTAATTTATTTGTCAGCATAATATCATTTTTGAATCTAACAATAATAAGGGCGTAATGTAATTTGTTTGTACCATTAAATAACGTCAAATTTAATAATGAATATCTTTGATTTCAGCTAAATCTTCTAAATCGATTTTTGTCTACAAAATCTCATTTGAAAACTCATGAGTGATAAAATATTGAAATATTGTTTTTTTCAATTTCTGTCAATAAAATCTTGGTTTTAAAATTAGAAATAGAACACATATTAATATTATTTTTATATGTCTTATAGTAAAAAAAAAAATTAGTAAAAATATTTTAAAATTGCAATAAAAAGATTTAAAAATAAAAAATAAATTGAATTAACAAATGAATATCAAGTGGTTATATTAATTTTTAAACTAGATTTTATATAGAAAAGCAAACTTCTCTCTTCTTTTGCGAGAGACAAAACCCACATGGGACACCGTGGTGACAAGAGCACCTCTCTGGAAATCTTATAAATAAGGGTGCTTAGGCTATGTTTAGAATATAAAAAGGGGATGCGGTGGCGAAGAGGCGCAATATCTGCGTCTCTTTCGCGTCGAGGGTGCTGGAATTCCGCCGCTTTTCGGAAGAAGTAGAAAAATGCAAGCAAGAGGCTCGTGCTCGCCCATATGCATGATGTTCATCCATATTAAAAATACTTACACTCGCGTGCGCCTCGTGTCAAATAAACGCGAAACGCACGTGAAGTTGGCTGGAAAAGAGAAAGAAAGACTGACTGGGGTGATTCCACCACCATAATTCACTCGGCACCTCTTCCGAAGAGGGAGAAAGAAAGAGGAATTTCAACCTTGATATGTTCGGCTAATAGGGGTTGCGCCAGACGAATGCATTCTTGAAACTTAAGATTCAAAAGATGTATTTTTTTTTTTCAAACAAAAGAAAAAAAGGGACGAAATTTAGCAAAACTGCCTCGGCTTCCAATTTAATTATCGCCCAATATCCTGTAATTACCAGGTTTAATTACTATGGTTTTAAAAAAGAGCAACCGTCAGATTTTTTTCTTTCTTTCTTTCTCAAGCACTATACGATAATTCTACTTGTGTACGTAATACGTGTTCCAGCGAATCAAGCAGCGCGGCGAGATCATGTGAGAAATTTCGCTTTTCTTGGAAATGCACTCGTAAAACATGGCATACAAAACACATTACGCTGAAAATAAAGAGGATAATTATTTTATTGCGTCTGTGTATACGCGGTTTTAATTTGATTTCAGAGGCTGCTTAATGGCAAATGGAAAATAAAAGGGGGGCGACTGTTGGGGAGTTGCGAGAAAAACAAATGAGAGTTTGCCGCTGTACCGTGGAAGTAATGTCCTTAAATAATTAAGATCTCATCGCTGGCAGGCACTATAAATTATTTAGCGTTTGGAAAGTTAAAATTTAAAAAATAAAAAACTGCGTTTGAAACATTATTTTAATTGATTGAGTGGCAGTATTCAAAAGCTCTAAAAATGAGGGAATAAAATAATTCCACGAAGTCTATGCAAAAAGTGAAATAGATATCATTTTTAATTTTTATTGAAAACACTGAAAAATACATCAATTTGGTTTTGAAAACAATAACATGCCTATTTCCAGTCAAGATGTTGTTTCTGAACAAAAAATTTAAGGACCTAAGGTTTATTAGTTTTCAGCAGTTCCAATTTCCAGATTTCCGCCTCTTTTTTTTCTTTCTCAGCTCCACAGAGCGGAAATAAATCTGTCCTCTCGAAAAGAGGCGAGATGAGATGAAAACCGCCCCCTCCCAAGGCAGTTAGCTCTTGAAAGAGATAGATCTCATCATTTCGCTCTCTCGCAAACGCCGAGGCAATGACAAGAAGTCCCGGCTCAATCCACGGCTCCTCTTTCGCGATAATCGCGCGCTTCAATTAATATGGCCC